TAGTCTATGACTTTGTTGCAGACATCGTTGTTTATCATCGCAACCTGAGGAAGTTTCTATTTTCATCTTGAACAGTGAACAGTAGAACATTTGCTGAATGCCAGCCATAACAGCAACTGGTTCTTCTCTGAAGCAGAGCAAATCTCTTATAAGTTTTTTGTTCAGATTAGGCCCAGTGAGAAGGACATAGCTGAGAGAAACACCTACATATCAAGCACTTGAACCAAAGACCACCCTGATATAATTTGGCTTATGAGGATGGTACACGCCAAACATGGGAGGTACCAATATTCTTCTCCTTCCCTAAGAGGTGGTGCAGGCTCAGTATGAACTCTAACAAACACCTTCTGCATAAAGTTGCGCACAGAAGTGAACATATACCTAAGTCGCGCTTGCATAAGTACACGATGTTCGCATCACACATGTGAGGTATCACCACGAACGTTAGAGTGGGAGCATTAATTCTAGCATTAGACCTCCTCCATAACTCTAAACACGTAACCTGTGAAATTTTTTAAAGCGTCCCCTATGAAGATTTTTAAGTACTGTAGTTTGTCGCCAAAGGCAGAAGCAGCGCGAGCAGTGGCCTTATATGCTCAAAAAGAAGCCTCCTTTATGAGGCAGAAAGCAGAGTTAGAAGCTATCTCCTTGAGGCAGAAAACTGAGTTAAAAGCCACCTCCTTGAAACAGAAAACCGAGTTAGAAGCCAACTCTTTGAGAAAGACAGTAGAGCTAGAAGCTAGTATGCTTCTGCTGCAGACTCATCAGGGCAGCAGCAGCAGCAGCAGCATCAGCAGCATCAGCAGAAGCTGTGGTATATGAAACTGCAAATGGTTCGGAAGGAGATTCATGAGAAAATAGCAACTCATTAATCAGTGAAAAGGACTCAGGAATATGTACAGAACCATGCTCCAGACAAAGTTAAGACAGAGAATCCTTCTATCAAGCCTATCTCCATCCCATTCCCACAGTTTTCTGAGTTGACATACCAACAGCCCTCTCCAGATATGCCTGCTGTGTCTCAAGCTTTTCACATGTAGCGCTACCCTTGTGAGGGCTGCTGTGTAATGAGTATCCCTAATCCTCTCTCTGCACAGCCAGGCAACAGGTATTTTTCACACAAACTTGCATCCAAAGACAGCGACCAGTCCATGGATTTGGTTTTGTTGTTTTATTAGGGGGAATTCAACTTGGATACGGAAATAGGGATTATGGGATGCCCAGTTTGGCTTGAATCAATGGAAGGGGAACACTTCCTTCCTATGTACAAAGACAGATCTTGGACTGTTCTTTTCCTGACAGCCATCGGTCGTTGTGGTTCAGCAGCAGCTGCCTTTTCTGGGCTAGGAACTAGCAGGTCCCCAAAAATCAGCTTTACTTCTCGCAGCTACATGCAGAGATGTCTTCTCTCCCCCTGTAGAGTTGCTCCCAAATCCACAGCCTCCACAGCCCTCCTGGCTTCTCGGAAGATTTCCTGGAACAAGGGTAAAGGATTGAGCCCAGCGCTGTCCTTGGAAAGCTTGCTATGTGTGGCAGTCTTTCCCCTTGTAGATCCCAAAGAGTGCTGCTGTACTCACACTGTCCTCTTTGCTCCTTGCTGCTCCAGGTCTCGATCCTATTCACACCTCACTGCTGAATGTATCCCCCTGAGCCAGCCCAAGCCCAGCCTGGAGGTCACTCCCCCCAGGCCCAGGGGACCCCTCCTAGGTACCGACAGTCTCCTCAGTACTCCATTCTCTACCCGACTCCCCTGTCAGCCAGACTCTCCCATATTTATGGGCCAGTTCACCATTCCACCAGGGCCTCCAAACCTGGGATTGGCCGGACTCCCATGAATAAGTACATCAGATCTCCACCCCTTCCTGCTTACCGACGTCTGGAAGGTTCTATGGTCCTCCAGAGTCAGGAGGAAGTGATAGAGCCACAACCTGTTGAGTCATCCAGCTGACTTGCAATAACCTGATCTCAATCACAGACTCACACAATTACCATGAGTCATACACAATGATTCTACCTACAGTACACTACACTACACTACACTACACTATTTTAGTAGCACACTAGAGGATGCTACACACATTAACTCTGAAACTGTTCCAGCACCAAGGGGACACATTCAAGAAAGCAAAGACAATATTAACCCTCAGCATCCATCACGCGACATGGGTTATCATGTATCCTCCTTTGAAAATGACCAACTAATCTAGCAAAGCACCTAATTCGGTGAGAATTAGCGGGCACTGGGCTACTAATATTTGATGATTGTCCTGAGAACTATTGGATATGGAAGGCATCATCAGAGATCTCAGTCTTATGGCTAGAGAGGAGCTAGATCTGCTAACAAAGAGGCTCAAACCAGAGTCATCTCGACAGGCCAAGAGAATCTGATCTTACCAGAATTGGGATACCTAGACACAGCACATGTGATTAAACCAATAACTGAAAAGCTCCCATACAGTTTGCAAGATAAATGGATTTCTCAAGGCTCTAAGCACAAGGAACATGTCTCCTTTCCACCAATCAGTTTCTTCACCAAGTTTATCAAAAAAGCAAAGACTAGAAATGACCCATGCTTCATATTCTTATATTTATATTCTCGACATGCAGCATCCAGATTTCAGCAAACACAGAGACAGGAGCAAAGCATGGCAACAGACCATCAGTATCAGTCAGAAAGACAGAGGTGTCAGCCACTGATGCAGCTTTACATCTTAACAACTCTGAAAAGACATCCATGGACCCAGACAGTTCATGCCCAATCCATAAAAAAAACACTCCCACTGTCAAAGTGTAGTGAATTCAGAAACAAGCACATTGATGAATGTAAAGCTTACTAAACACATTGCTAAAGACTGCAAGGTCAATATAAAAGATAGAGAGTGCAGTAGTGACCAGCATACCTCGGCACTGCATCCAGGTCTAGCCCCTTGGGCAACAGACTCCAGACATACTCCGGTAACAAACAAAGAGCAAGGTGGGAAGGATGATGAACCTACCCCATCAAATATTGTATCCAAGTATACAGAGGTATGTGCAGAAGGGATGAGGCCCAGATTATGTTCCAAGATTTGTTTGGTGACTGTATATCCCTCTAACAATCCCGACTGTTCTATGAAAATGTATGCAGTGTTAGATGATCAAAGTATTCGCTCATTAGCCAAGTCAAAGTTCTTTAATGTGTTTAACATTAGTGGTGAAACGTTTTCTTACACACTAAAAACATGCTCAGGTACTATCATAAAAGGAGGACGTAGTCTATTGATGGGAAAATACACATAAAACTTTCAGACATCACGTCTCATTGAATGTGACATGATGTCTGATAACAGGTCAGAAATGTCAACCCCTAAGTCTACATAGCATTTCCCTCATTTGAATTCCTTAAAGCGGAGCTCCACCCAAAAGGGGAAGTTCTGTTTTAACCTCCCTAGCGGTCTGATTATGTCCACATTTCTGTGCTCAAAGCGGTACATTTTTTTGCATGGAAATATGTTTTTTTTTTTATTGTAGGCCTGTAATTTTTAGGAATAACTCATAGGAATGAGCATGTGCAGAACAAAATTTAACCGTCTACCGCAGGAGCTTATCTTTAAGGCCCCATGTACACGGGACATTTCTGAATGATGGAAACTGACTGCTGGAAAACGTAGGTTAAAAAATATTTGTCTGGCCGCGTTTGAATAATGTGTTTATGTGCGTTTATGCATGTTTGCGTTTAGAAGCGTTTTTTAAAGATAAGCACAGGAGCACCTCCCAAATGCCCAGAATGCACTGAAAAGTGGTAAATTATTAACTATTTCAGACTGTTTCAGAGAAATACAGAGAGTAGAAGATGAGACAGCAGAATGTGTTGAGATTAGCTTAGGTGTGAGTTGCTCATTAACATTTCTTTTGTTTCCAAGCTACCCATTCACAAAACGTGTAGTGTGAAAAAAGACGGGACAAGTCTTTGACAAGTCCTTTATTAAAAGCAAAAAAACTAAAAGAATGTCTCCCGAAGTAGATCCAACATCAATCACGATGCCCGCTGCCACCACCCGAGAAAAGACTAAAAAAAAAGTCTCCACTCCCGACGCTGACTCCTGGCCATCTCTCTGCTTCGCTGGCTTGACAGTTCTTAAATATGTAAGGGGTGGGGCCACCCGTGGTCATCCCCTGTGTGACCTCGCCCCATGTGACAACATCACCCGGGGAATGCTGGCTCATTGATGTCACATGGGGTGGGGTCACATGAGTGATGTCCCTGGGTGGCCCCGCCCCTTACATATCTAAAGTGTAGTTCCATTCACAGTGTAAAAAAATAAAAGTCAGCAGCTACAAAAACTGTAGCTGCTGACTTTTAAAAAAACAGCCACTCACCTGTCCCATGATCCCATAGTGTCCTCCCTGCAGCTCATTTCACCGACCGTCCTGTGTTCCAGATGCCGGCATCTTCAGTGTGGGCACCTGGCCGTGACAGCTTGAGGCATGCACGAGTAGCGTTGCGCTTTCTGAATGGCCCTGTAGTCTTCTGAGACCTGTCGCATGTCCCAGAAGACTACAGGGAGGGAGGGTAGGAGGACAACTTCCAGTTCCGATCGCCTAGGTGATCGCAGCAGAAGTGGGAGCGGGTACCTGTCGAATTTCGGGTACTCACTCCCCAAAGCTGCCAATCTTTAATGGGGAGTGGGGGACCAGTCTTTAAAACAGAAGTTACCCTTTTGGGTGGAACTCTGCTTTAAGAACTGTTAAGACAGTAGAGCAGACAGATGGCCAAGAGCCAGCATCGGGAGCAGAGCCTTTTTTTGGGTGGCGGCGGGCGGCAGTGGCCGATATTGTGATTGACGTTGGATCTACTTCGGGGGACATTCTTTTAGTTTTCTTCTTTTATTAAAGGACTTGTCAAAGACTGTCTCCTGTCTTTTTTTACACTACGCTTTTTGTTTTTTTTGTGATTGGGTAGCGGTACCATGTACCCCATACTCATTCACATGGGGGGCAGGATCTGGGGGCCCCTTGCTAAAGGGGGCTTCCAGATTCCGATAAGCCCCCCGCCCGCAGACCCCCACAACCACAGGCCACGGTTGTGGGGAAGAGGCTCTTCTTCCCATCAACATGGGGACAAGGTGCTTTGGAGAGGGAGCCCCTCCTGCCCCAAAGCACCCCCCAATGTTGAGGGCATGTGGCCTGGTATGGTTCAGGAGGGGGAGACACTTGCTCACCCCCCCCTTCCCTGCCGGCCTGCATGCTCGGATAAGGGTCTGGTATGGATTAATTTTGGCGTGGGGCTTCCCCTCAAAATCTGAATCAGACCTGAAGGGCTTGGTATGGATGGGAGGGGGGACCCTACGTCATTTAAAAAAAAATGTTTTATTTGCCAGCAATTCTTTCTTTTACATTCAGCTGTCAGTGGGGAACTCTGCTGACAACTGCAACATGAACACAGGCTTTTCACTACTAGAAGGCCACATGTTCTGTCTCTCCAATCTAAGCATTGAAAGTGTGATCTCTGTAACTTACAGTTGTAATGAGATAGCGATAACTTCAACCTCAGTCGGATACCACAGTCAGTGACTCAATCGATAAGACATCTTGTAGATCTTGTGAAGTTTATTCCATAAACTGAGAGAATCTTACAACAATGAACATTCAATAGGTCAAAAGATCATACTGTTTCTTGCTCCATGCCATGAGGCTTGCTGCAATGCATTTCTGGGAAAGGGGGAGGGCTATCTATGCAACATTAACTAAACCAAAGGAAAGGGAGGAGCAGAGACAAAATATAGAAAACATTTAAAGGCATATGACAGTCAATATGACAGTCATGTGAAACATGACACCACATGACTTGATAAAATAACTCATGCAGTATTTTAGTAGCGTTTTTTTTTAGGGAATGCAAACTTTTTTTGTAAAAATGTTGTGCAGGATCCTACCGCATATTTGGATGTGGTAAGATGCCGCGTAATAAATTGTGCCCATTGTGTGACTAATCCCAAATGGCACCCCCCCCCCCACTCACACACACACTCTTATTCTCTTCTCTTTGGAATCTCAGCTCTTGGCTTGACAAACCCTTCCCAAAAGGGGCAAAGTGCAAACCAGCAATATCAAATAAATCATTAGTCCAGGCCCTTATCTTGCTTCTTATCCTTTATAATGATTTTCTGTGACAGTTTTACATGACATTTATTCACATATCTGTATATTTCGCTCGAAAATGTTGTGAATTTGATATATAATATTTTGAAGATCTAGATAATATATATTATTGTGCCTTAAATATATGTCCTCGTATACCTCCCTGATTGTAACTGTCATTGGTGACAAAGATAAATCTCTACAACGATAACCTCTTAACTTGTATTTCCCATTATTAATCATTTGTAAGCAGTGTTTCGGTGTTTCTAATACATTAATTTTCTTTGCAAAACATTTAATGAATGCTAGTACATTTTTGGAAGCATATATTCTCTCCAGTATATATACTTCTGTCTGTACTGTCCTTTGCATTGATCATGTACAGGGACTTCGACATGTCTGGCATATATCTTTTTACACTAAGCATGCCCAGCGACTTAGCCATTTGAGACATTTTTCTTGTTACACTGAGCATGCCCAGGGACTTTGCCATTTCTGAGTTTGTGCCTTGTGTAACTGGGCATGCTCATGGACTTTGAATTTTGAGAGATATTGCCAAAATGTTGGTCCAACGGCACTTTTTTAGCAACGTCTAAAAATAAGCCTAAGCAAAATGCCCTCAGCTGTCCACAGGCAGCACACACCAAACCAGCGCTGCTGGAAAACTCAGACTTAGAATGACAAGGAATACAAATGTTATGCTGTGTTACCAAATCAAGTGTGTTGGGTATATGTAAGGCAATCCCAAAGGTTCACAATATTATTCCCAAAATGTGTTCCCCCCTGTCAATGTTTATGTGTTTCACTTTGCAATAGTGGAGTCACCCCCTCTCTCTCTTTTTTTTTTTTTTACAGCTTTTTCACTATGATTTTGGTACACATTTTGGGGGGATAATATGACAATATTAGTATTGCAATCCTTTATATTGAGATACATAGAACCAACACACATCTGAATTGGCAACATAGCACAACATTTGTGCTACAATTGAGATATATGGCTTGCCCAGGGACTTGGGAATGATCCACACCACAGAAATGCAGTATGGATGTGTGTGACAGCACAGTAGTTAACTGGTTAGCACTGCTGCCTCAGAGCACTAGGGTTGTCGGTGTGAATCTCAGCCATGGCAATGAAGTTGCGGCTGCCTTCACACAGACATGCTGGCCACATCTTTGGCTTCTGTCTAAATGATGCCTAGTTTGTGAATTAGAATGTGGCCTTGTCCATGTTCAAGCTCCTTCAAGGCTGGGCCTTATGTGAATGTCAAACGATGGTGCAAGATAAGGGCCTGGATTTATTTGTTTGATATTGCTGGTTTTCACTCTACCTCTTTTGGGAAGGGTTTGTCAAGCCAAGAGCTGAGATTCCAAAGAAAAAGCCTTTTTTTATTAGTGAAAAGCATGTATTCATGTTGCAGCTGTCAGCAGGGTTCCCCACTGACAGCTGAATATAAAAGAAAGAATTGCCAGCAATTAAAAAATTTTGAAAAAAATTGCATCCCCCCTCCCATCTAGCCCTTCAGGTCTGGTATGGATTTTGAGGGGAAGCCCTACGTGAAAATAAAAAAACATGCCCTCAACATGGGGGGGGGGGGGGGGGTTAGTGCCTTGGGGCAGGGGGGCTCCCCCCCAAAGCACCTTGTTCCCATGTTGATGGGGACAAGGGCCTCTTCCCCACAACCCTTGGCTGTGGTTATGGGGGTCTGTGGGTGGGGTGCTTATCAGACTCTGGAAGACCCCCAGATCCCGCCCCTCCCATGTGAATGATTATGGGGTACATGGTACCGCTACCCATTCACATAAAAAAAGTGTAGTGGGAAAAAAGACAGGAGAGAGTCTTTGACAAGTCCTTTATTAAAAGAAGGAAAATAAAAGAATGTCCCCTGAAGTGGGGACTCCCGCTGACAGCTGAAACATTAAGGCATGTTTTTCACTACTAAAATACTGCATGACTTTATAAAATAACTCATGCAGTATTTTAGTAGCGTTTTTTGGTGAATTAAAACTTTTTTTTAACCACTTCCAGTCCGGACACTTTCACCCCCTTCCTTCCCAGGACAATTTTCAGCTTTCAGTGCTATCACACGTTGAATGACAATTGCCGGTCATACAACACTGTACCCATATGAATTTTTTTGCATTTTTTTGAGAGAGATAAAAATTTCTTTTAGTGGTATTTACTCACCACTGGGATTTTTATTTTTTTGCTATATAAATGAAAAAGTCCAAACATTTTGAAAAAAAAAGTGTTTTATTTATAAAATTTTGCAAATAAATAATCTTTCTTCATAAATCTTGGCCAAAATGTATTCAGCTATCTTTTTAGTAAAAAAAAATAACCCAAATTAGTTTAGAACCAAAAATTATAATTTTTCAAAAAAATTTTTACAATTTTTTTATATTATTATTTGTTTTTTTTCTTTTTTAACATACTGTCACCCTAGCAGTACAGTGTCACCGTAGTATAACATTCATTAGGAAATGCATTATTTGGGTGATAATTTTTGGAGAAAAAAAATGGCAAGAAAACGAATAGAGGCAACAATAATAGCAGCAACCCCCCCCCCCCAAAAAAAAATAAAAAGCCATTAAAACACCTGCAAGTTTTCTTATCTGGCATACAAATAAACGCAAATGGGACAAGGCCCACTCTTGTGCGCCACCTAGGCACCATATCCAGCATTGCTCCTACAATTGCATCTACTCAGATCAGAGATTTATCAAAGACAATTCAGTCTACCTGTAGATGTTTTTATTCAAATTCTTTTTATTGAAATTCTTTTTATTGGAATTTTTGTAAATACAGTTACAAAAAGGGAACATGAAACTTCAACTGGTTCACAGTCATACAGACAGGTAATATATTGGCAAAACATTTCCTGCTTACAGTGTAATATAAAGACCCATAACAGTATGGCATAATATGGGGGGGAACAGTACTTTCAGTACAACAGTACTTTCAGTACAACCAAGAACTGTAGGGAAAAAGAGGTAGGAACAATCAATTTACCTAACACATTAAACCATATACCAGTCAAAATTAGTACTTATACTCCGTATTGTATGAGCTATCACCGTAGACGTTTTTATGTTGACCACTGAAAGGTCTTAATTGATTTAATTGGGTCTGGCTGAACGTTCAGCGTCTGCTATTGGACACTATTCTTAGTAAATCAGAGCCTATGCGTCAGTAAAGCTAACATCTACAGTGCAAAGAGAAGTATGTGTCTTTTCTGATGTTTCTACTGTGGTGATAGCAGCTGTAGTGTATCTGAAAGCCAAAGACTTAAGAAATATTATAATTTGGTGATATTATCATAAATTGCAGACTGGATATATAACGCACAGGGGAGAAGCTTGGTAAAAATGGAGAGTTCACTTAGTAAAGCACAATTAGATAAGTATATTTGGATACCACAGGAATTTTGCACATGATGTGAAGATTCAATTACTTTGCCACAGAATGTATTTAGGATATGGGATGAAATGCATAAGCAGAAGGACTGGAAGTTTAATTCACTGTCAATCCCGTTGGCGGGAACTACGTTTTTTCCACCCGGGAATGACAATATTTCAGGGAAATGGATAATTGATAGAAATGCACGTTTAAAAGATATTGTGGATAAAGCGGTTTTATGTTCCTTACATGATTTGAAGAGTAAGAAGGGAATATTTTCTATAATAGATGGGTGGTGGTACTGTCAAATAAGACATTTTGTTGCAAAGCTCCCACAACTGCTAAGAACCAAAGGAAGAAATGTACCCTTTAGAACAACTGTTGAGTATAAATAGAACACAAAAAACACATTACCTCCAGGATATATAGAATCCTTACCGAAATAGAGGGATTGGTATCCCCAAAGTTTTTGGAGAAATGAGAATTGGAGCTTGGAACAAAAACTGAATGAGCAACAAAAAAGTAAAATGTTTAGTTTAACACATGGAGCAGTGACTATGAATACAATTGAAATTATTTATAAATGTTTGGTAAGATGTTATATTACACCTAATCTGATCCTTAAACGGCCCCGTCGCAGTGTTGGAGGGGATGTGGGAGTAAGGGTACAATGGCACAAATCTGGTGGGAGTGTCCCAAAATACAGGCGTTTTGGAGGGAGATCGTGCAATATACACAAGAGATTCAGAAAATAAGTGTGCTGATGGACCTGTGGGTTTGCCTATTTCACAAATCAGAGCTTTCAGTGAAACAATATAAAAATATGATACTGTTTTATCTTTTAAATGCGGCCAAAAGTCTTATTCCTAAATATTGGCAAACAACAGAACCCCCAAAAACAAAAGATTGGTTGGATAGAGTTGAATATATATACAGGATGGAAGAATTATACCACATAGATGAGGACAAAATGGAAAAATTTAAGAAGGTCTGGGAAGGATGGCATATTTAAAAAAAAAAAAAGATTTCTAGAGGTGGTTGGAGTATAGGGGAATAAAAGTATAGGAAAATAAATAAGAAGCTGGAGAAGACAGAAAGAAAGAAGGAAAAGACAAGGAGGGGAAGTAGTAAGATAGATTAACAAAAGAAGAACTAGAAGTAAACGGAAGGACATAGAAGATAGGAGGAGAGGGGGAGGGAGAGGTTGGGGGAAGGGGGGATAAACGTGGGGATAGGGAATGCAATTAAGTATAGATTTTTGTATTGAATGATGGTGGCATGAAATGTATTTGTATTATATAAAAAAAAATAAAGATATAATTAAAAAAAAAAAAAAAGAACACCTTTGGGATGAATTAGAGCGGAGACTGCGAGCCAGGCCTTCTCATCTGACAGCAGTGCCTGACCTCACAAATGTGCTTCTGGAAGAATGATCAAACATTCCCATAGACAAACACCTAAACCTTGTGAACAGCTTTGCTAGGATTTCCCAGAGTTGAAGCTGTTATAGCTACAAAGGGTGGCCCAACTCAATACTGAACCCTGTGGACTCAGACTGGGATGCCATTAAAGTTCATGCGCATGTAAAGGCAGGGGTCCCAATACTTTTGGCAATATAGTGTATTTACTTCTTGTGGTTCTTTAACCTCTTTTCTACATTGATCTGTCTTCTCTGCCTTTCTCTGATCCATACTATTTACTATAAGAGTTAAAACATATTACAATCTGAATTTCTCAGCCTTCTTGTGTCAATTAGACAATCTAGAAATCCTCATACAATTTGCAGCTCACTCACAGTTATGTGTTCCCACACCAAAGATAGTGCAGTACTGCTAAACTTCAACAGCAACAATAAACAATGCAAATAACTTAAAGTGATTCTAAGAAATTCTAACTTACAGATTTAAAAAAAAAAAAACTTTATACCTCCTGCTGCCATCTTAGTACACAGCTATATGTTTGACACGTGTATAAGAGTTAGCACTGGCAGCAGTGCTCAACTGTGTAAGTGCAATATTTTACTTTTTATTATTAAAAATATTTTAAATGGAGAGCATTCAGTTTTGCATGCTTCCCTCTCCTTACAACATATATCTGACATTTATGAGTCTTTGAAGACCGGTGTATTCCATCTTGAGGAGAAAAGAGTGAGGATTTGACAAGCACCTGTCAGTTATTATCCCTGAGGGGAACAAAACTAACTTTGACCTTTTTGGTAATGCAGGGGTCAAGGTCAAGCTTTGAGGTGAGAGGCTCACTTATATGGGTGGTGAAGACATGGAGCACGTTTATCATTATTTGGATCACAGTGTCACAGTGGTGATTGCAATATCTTTTGGACTTTAGTTTTTGTGTTTTTTAGACTGTATATTTTTATTATACACCATCTTACTGTATTTGAATATAGTGGAGATGAACACTATCAGTATTAATATTACTATCAATATTATTTTTAATTGTTCATTGTTTTCACTTTGTGTATCAGTTCAAATATAAGTGCAGCGCTAAAGCATAAGTGACAAATGCAATCATAAAGTGCTTATGTGAATAGAAGTATTCATACAATATTCCAGTGAAATAAATCAAATAAAACGTCTCAGATCACATAGAATCATAACAAACTCTAAAATTCTGAATATAAGTAGTGGATAGTCAGTGGCACTGCAGGTCACAGATGTGCCAAGTGATATATGTGTGCTTATTTAGCAATAATGGTGATTATACATAGTCCTTGGCACTACAAGTCACAACAATGCCCGTTGTTCCTGGAACTACAAGGTGCAACAATACCATCTGGGATGTTCAAGAGTGCGCATGATCCAACATAGGAATCCACCACCGTATATGGATGTGCACTCACCAGAACACTACTTGTATAATAGCGTTAATGCTGATCCTTATGGGGGGTCTCAGGAAGCCATAAATAGGGACCAAACTTCTCCAGGGTCAGGGCTATGCAAAACCAGCAAAGGATCCTCCTAGGGGGAGAAGCTCACCACAGGAGCTGAAGGTATGGCAATATAGTGTAGTATTTATTGTAAATAGTTAAAAGCAATCCACGTGGATACAGCAAAGCGTTAAATGCATAAAAGCATACCAAAATGGCCACCACTCCGAGCACCAACAGTTTGCGCAGCACGTTACAACATGAGGGCATACAGTATAGTTACAATACAATTTAATACA